GTAGGGACCCTGCATACACAGTTACTTCTTCAAAAAGACACAAGAATTGAAGGAAAGAGGTAGTCTGTAAGAGCTCCATCAACAGGTATGCTTTATTTCAGCTACCGCAATGACTACACACATGCAGGATCTATATAAAACAACAAATGGCTCATGCATCCTTCTCTGCATCTATTTTCCCACCTTTCCTCACTTTGGGGTGGTTTTGGGTCTTAACACTGGATCCCCTCAGGATATCCAGATATCCACTTTGAATGAGTTTCTCTCTTGCTCTCTTTCCAATCACCCCTGCAAAAAATTTTCTTCTTATGGAGGTCTTGCTGTTAACTCAGAAGACTGAATTAACCCCCACATCCTTCTGTTCCTTCCCTGCTCAAACTTTATTTTTGCAGTCTATTGCTTTCACAAGTTGTGTCTTTCTTCTGCTCTGGGATTTTCCACTCTCCAAATGGCCTACCCATTGTGAAGAAAATGGAGAAAACAGTGTCCTTTGACAGTGTGGACATGACTTAATGACCTTCTGTTGTCCTTGGCCTGAAAGATGACATAGCCCCAGCTTCACATACGTGAGGTATTTGGTGGTATAGTGATTGCATAAGATCAATCAAGATTCCTGTGATGTGTTTAGACAGGTTCCCCAATTGCCACACAAATATTTTGAAAGTAATCTACTCCTGTGTCAGAAGTGATGTGTCTAAGGTCTCACTGTAGGAAGTGACAGGACTCTATTGTTCAGCATAACTGAATTTGGGCTTGTTTCACAGCATGCTGACACACCGGCAGGCTCAGCCAGGACCATCTCTGGCCCTGGAGGTGTACCTTTAACCTCCTGCTGCAACAGCAAGCTCTAATTTGTTCTTCCTGTAAGATGCTAAGTAACGCATCCAGCACTGCAGCTTTGCTAGGGTAAAACTGATGTATTGCTGTTCTGAGCTGATAGACAAATAGTATTAGACAGAGATGAGTAACAAGGGAAATTTTTCCATGTAGTTTCTCACCACCATTCAGAAGATTTACTTAAAGAGCAAGGGCACTGCAATGAGCACTAATGCATAGGGGAACGTGCTGCAGAACATTTACCTTGTGTCAATGCCATCTGCCTAAAATATCCGGGCTAGCAACATCCGAACCGCAAGTTTACGTATATAGCTGAGAGAGCAGAGAGCCCAGAGCTCGCTCCAACGTTGACCTGGGTTAGCCTACCCTACAGTAGACATGAAGGTGCTTGAAAACTTCCCCAAAAATTCGTTCTGACAGTTCCTTGACCTGAAAAGACTGCAACCATGACAAGACCAGAGGAAAAGAGGCTGTGGCACACAGACACACTGTTAGTGTGTCATATGCCTAGAGATAAAAGGAGAAAAACAAAACCAGAATAAAATTTGCATCATTCAGCATGGCTTCACAGAATAACCTCATTATTTAATAGACTTGGGAGATTTTTGCTCTTTCCCAGCTATCAATTTTATTGACTCCCTCATGTTTACCTGTGCCATTCATTCATCATTCCTCATCCCACAATCTACAAGTGGTGTATGGGATCTGTACAGCTCCACTTGGACTAATTCTGTGTCATCTCTAGGTTTCGGTCTTGTGCATTTCTGCCTGAACAGCATCCACATAAGCAAGGCAACCAAAACAAGAGAGAACTTGTTGGGTAAAGACATTTGAGGCAAATTATGTCTGTTGCAATAATGAAGTGACAGCCACAGCAAACTAGGCATAACAACATCCCTTGTAAAACAGGGAGCTCAGCAACAGGCTCAGAGCCTCAGCTGGCTAATCTCAGAGGAACGCTGCTGATGTGCACCGGTGGAGGGCCTTATTTCTCCTTCCAGCCAAGTCTGAGTTCCTTTATTTTTTTCCCTTGCAAATATAAAAAGAGCTTAGAAGCCGGTGGAGCAAGAGGTGAGAACAAATCATTATAACTGATGAAGACCACTTTTATTGTGAACCTTCTAGCTACTTTCTGGATTGCTTCTGCTTCTTTTCCTTTCTCTCTTTTCTTCTTCTTTTCTTTCTACTTAGTCACTTGCTTCTTCAAAGTTCACAGTGTGATTCAGCCCTGAGTTCTCTGCTAGATGCCAAGTTTCAAAGTTCCCAAAGTACCTATCTATGCACACCAAGCATTACAAATAACATTTCCACATTTAAGCCAATTGGATCCTGAGCTAACCTGGTTTATAGCCATCTGGAATTCTTCAGAAAAAGTGACTTGTAAGCACTGTAAACAGTTTTGTCTTCCCAGAGGACACCAAGTTTCCAACTTCATTGTCATCTCCATTTTACAATGTGATTCAAGAGCAAGGTATAGATTTAAAGATGATAATGCAAATAGTATTAATAAAAGAAACCTCAGTGTGATCTGCTTTTCCCTAATAAGGCAGGTTCTATCTGTGTCCCAAAGGCAGCAAGGTGCCAATACAATTAATCAGTCTGTTTTTAGTTCTCCCTAGACAGCAATAGTAACAGTTTGTTTCAGTCTGTTTATACGGGTCTGACAGGTCTTCAAGATGCTGTGTTCACTTTCTTGTGATTAATAGTCATTCACATACTAAGGTGAAGACCAAGCAGAAAAAGAATGTCTTTAGAGCAGGACAGATAACTGGATTCTCTCCCCCAGTCTTTCATTTCTAACTAGGAAACAGTACTAAATTTAGGAGTGCTGTCTCACCATATTGTTTAAACTCCTCTTTTTCTTACAACTTACCCATCTGATGAGCCCAAGCAAAATTTAAATCGCATATTTTCTTTGTTTACTTTTCAGCTGTGCTCTATAAAGCCATCACATTGATAGTGAATGTCTGCACACTGATATTACATGCAGAAAGCAAAGCTATTGGAACCAGTTTTAAGCAAGGAATAACTCCTGGGAAAAGAATTCTTGCTTTCCATCTCTGCAGACCAGTTAGGGGAGATCTGAGGGACTAACTGAACACCAAACCCACCCCAACAGAGACTTCAGAGACCAAGAAGGTGCTGGACTGTAAGATGTGTTTTGTACATTACTTCAGTGGCTTTAACAGCACTTTTAACAAGTCCTATCAAACTGAAGATGCTTCCCTGGTACAAAAGCAAACCCTTGGGCTGGGGTCCTCCCCTGCACCACTGAGAGCTTTAATTTGAGAAAGTGTGAAGGAACCCTTAGATAAGAATTTAGAGTATTTCCCAGTTCCATTTTGATACAGGGAGTTTTTTTCTTCCCTCGCCGCCCAAAGAAAAGACCATGCACACATTTCTGTGCTAATTTTTGTCCATTCCCTAGTTTCTCCAATTCCTCAGCACTTGTCATCTCTCCTTTTTGGAGGCAGGTTTTGGGGCTCCCCCTTTGTCCTGGTTTCTTCATTAACTGCTCATTTCCTAAGATTCCTTCCCTCTTTGAATCTCCTTCTGGCTTTCCCTCATCCCTTTGTCACTAGTCCATTGATTTCTCTGTTTAGGCCTCCTGTGATCTCTCTTCTTTCACTCTCTTACCCAAGTCCATCCAGTCTTGTGCCTCTTCCTGTCTATTTTAACCAGGGCATTCTTTTCTTCAGCATTAATCAGAAAGCATAATTTCTTTTCTGACATTTTTTCTGAATGACAACCTTCACAAATCTTATTCTCCTTTCAGGTTTACTGCAGTTGAAAAGGATGGCACAGGAAAGTTACTATAACTGAATAGCAAAACAGTTCTGCAAGGTAATACCATTCTCTAGAATAAAAGAAGAATCATCCTAATTTTTAAAATGCTGTAAGCTGCCCTATCAAATAATAGGAACTGATCAATAAGGCACAAACACATATTAACACAGTGGGTCTGATACAAGAACTCAGTAGTGCTCTCCAGAAACCTGTTGCTATGTCCTTCTCTTAGTTGTTCTAGGTAGTTCATCAAAGCAATGACATAGGTTACACACCAAATAGCAGACTGCCTCACTCCTCACCTGAGATAAAAGCACTAGTTCAGCCTCTTCTTCCTCCCAGAGAATTCAGGTCCCCTACCTCCAAAACACCATGCTCAAAATATGGTCAGTGATGCCACCTGCTTTCTTGCCCTTTGGCAGCTCATAATTTCAAAGCAGTGGCTTTCATATTTGCAGTCTTGTCCTTCTTACAAACTTGGGATATACAAATGCTTACACATGCATTTACCATCAGGACAGCTGCATGTGCCTGGAGCCACTCACCTCACCACAGGGCATGGGCAGAGACATCCCCATCTCTTCTGGAGATGCACAACAAAAGTAACTTGGCTTTAAGGTCACAACTGTGGCTTGATAGTTTTAAGAAGATCGTTCATTTTCAGCTTTTAAGAAAACTGCAGTAGCAGCTCAATGGACTAAGATACAGCAATTCTAAAATTAAATTCACTTTTTATAAAACTACTGTTTCCACCACAGAAAACTCAATATGAAAGACCTTCTGCTGAGCTGTGACCATGTGTTTTCCAATAAACAAAACACTCAGCGTAGCCATGTCATGGATGGAAAAGACAGGGGCTGAGCAAGAGCACAACCGCTCTGGTGTCACATAAATCATATGCTGGGTCACGCGCCACAGGACTACATCTGGCCTCTGCCTTTGTATGAGATCGTGTCACAGAAGAGGGCAGAAGCGCTGGGCAGGCAGTTGATGCTGGCCTCTTTCATGCTTTGCCATACTGTGAGGTGCTTCAAAGGTCTCAGAAGTGGCTACTACACTGCAATGCCATGGCAGGGAGCACAACGTAGCACACCTGACTGAAAATACTCATGCACAGCCAGGAAGCCTGAGGAAAAGATGCTCACAACAATGTGTGACCCCTGGGCTAATAGCTGTCAAGATCAATTTCACATATTCAGACCCTATAAAACCATTTTCTTTGGCAGCAGATAACCCAGGGACGTCAGATACAAGTACAACATCTTTCTAAACAGATAATACCTTCAGAACTAGCTTGTGAGGAAAAATAAAACAAGAGGAAAGCAATATGACAAGGAAACTACATCCCTGTGCTGTACATTGTCTGTGGTTCTTACCTTCTACGCAGATCTTCGGCCACTGCTGCTCTGCAGCTGAACAAATAGGCTCGGAGAGATTTCAGCTGCTGTCTCAGGCGGACAACAGTTGCCAGAGGTTCAACATGCTTGTACAACATGGGATTTTCCTGCTGGATATCAATCAATGGCTCCTCATAAACATATTCCAGGAACTCTTTGGCTTGCTTTGATACCTGAAAAATAAAGTAACCAGTTTGACTAGGCTTTCCTCCCAACTCTTTTAAAGCAGATCTTCCCCTCTGTGATCTGTCAGCTATTCTCTGCATCTGAAAACTTACTCTGTTAACAATTACAGAATAAGACAGAGCTGAGAGAGATCCAACTCTCTGCTGATAGCCAAGTCAAACTTCATCAAGCCCATCAGAGTTGAGTGTAGAAGATAGTTGCTTATTTACCCAAAGTACAGCAGTATTTTCAGCCACACATATTTTCACTGCAGGGTAACAGAGCTTCAGAGCTTAGATGTCTTTCAAGTCTAAAAACTGATTACCAAGTTTCTTCCTGTTAATATTTTTCTGTTTGTTTGCTGCTTGGCAAGTAGAAAGTGATTAGTAAATGCAAAAGCACAACATCAGAAAAGGAAACACACACTGCAAATCCCATCACATTGTACTATCCCAGGGTATAGAAGTCCAGTGTAAAGTACTACTCCCGTTTGTTTCATGCTCAGCCAATATGGTTAAAAATGTGTAAAAAGAAAATAATGAGAAGCATATCTATCAAGTTGGGGTTTTTTAAAATATGAATACAGATAAAGTTGAATTTTACTGTAGTATTGCTCAGTCCCAGTGTTTCATCTGCAAGATATTTTTCTTATGCCTTTTTCACGATAGTGCTCTGTTCTATCTCCACCTGCAAAGAGCTACTGTAATCTTGATAAATTAACGGGACTTTTGTTCCCACTAGAAAAGATACTCCTGTTTCTGAGGTGAGAAGGCCAAATTCCCCCTCTCATTCCTTATTTCTGCGTTTTATCACAGCTGGAAAAGAGAAGATGGGATTATCTGAAATGAGCTGCAAATCACTTGAAACTGTGTTACAGAAATACTATTTGTTCCACAATTCAATTAGTCCTCCTGGACCTTTTTTAATCACTGTTTACACTGAGTCGAAGGAGGGATGATTTAAGCTAACAAAAGGAGAAAGGGCTTACCATAGCCTCTTCAGATTTAGGATGTTATTTCCCTTCTGGTGCTGTAAGGTAGGAAGTAGGTAAAAGCAATATACATCCTTATAAACAGCACCACTTCCAAAACTAGAAAACATTACTAGCTACAGGAGTCACTAGCTGCTTACAGGGAAAGCTAGCCCCCCATGCAACCTTTTCACAATGCATAACAAAAATAAAAGAGATAATGCCAAGAGGCCAGCCTTCCCACCAATAACTACACAGATAATACAATGTATAATTTTTAAATACAGTAGACCATAGTTTCCCAGACCCTGAAGCTGTATTAAATATCGCACCTATTTGTATTAAGCATCCCACTCATTTCTTTTTTTCCTCCCCAGCCCCTGTCCTCCCCTTTTTTTAAAAAAGTAATACACATACAAGGAATTGTGCTGTCTGAATGGAAGCACATGTAACATGCTGCGTAAGGAACAACACAGGCAACTTGGATTTTTTTTTTTATGACAAAACTCTACAAACCCCAAGTATGTCAAGTTTTCTAATACTAGCAAAGCTGCTGTTTTATTAGACATGCTAACTGCAGTGCACCAAAGAGACTACAGTCAAACAACCTGCTTTTACAAACATAAAGCTTTTTGCCTCTAATATCTCAGCAATCCCTTGACAACTGCTGTATCTACAGTAGATATTACTTCTCTTCCACCAACTGGCAAATCAAGCCATCTATTCAGTGATTCCCTGGGAGGCACATGACTGCTTGGTACAGTGACTAGCACCTCCCACCAGGAGGACCTGGTGCCCAGTGATGTCTTTGTAGCCTTATTTCCTTACTTTAAACCCCTGCTGAAGTGATGGGCTCTTTATCCACCTGTCCTGCTGTCTTGGGAACCAGAAGGCAATTACTATCTGAGGACTACACCCACACCCGTGCAACCCTCCTGAGGCTGCAACATTAAGAGTACAGAAACAAAAAAATGCCAGAACTGAGGTCACCTGAGTGACTCTGCAATACATGTGCCCTATCATGACGAAGTAATAACGTGCGGCTCTGGTGCTGCAGGGTCTGAATGCATCCTCTGAGTAGAGAGGAGCACAGCAAACCCTTCTCCCTCTTTGCCAATACAATGTACCTGTGGAGTGTTGATTGCAGGAAAAATAGCTTTGCCCAACATTACTGGCTGACAGGTAGGTGTCAGTTCACTCTGCGTGCCTGACATAGGCACACAGGTCATATAAAACATTAACCCACATTGTCAACCACAGCAAAGTTACAAGAAACTGAAATGCAGTCTTATAAGGGGGAGGGTCAAGCCATCATAATTATTCAGCTTGCTATCAGCCAACATTCTAGTACATGTACTAGCATACTCACAGTCCACCAGTTTTACTGAGCAGACTATACAACCTTACTAAATAAGCCAGAAGGAGTGAGAAGATGCAAACTGCAACAGGGTTTTAGCTTTAAATGTCATACAAGGACAGATTCTAACATTTCCAGAGCTTTCTTTTCTAGAGGCTACAAACTTATAGTTCAGAATTCAATTTACCAGAAGTCAGCTTCCCTTGAAGACTTCTGGCACACCGAGTACATTTCCTGCTGTGTTTGTCTGGCATTTTGTGCAGACTGGAAGCCACCTGAACCAAACTGCAATGCTTACTGGTTTTTGCCCGCAAAGGGGGAGAACAGTTGGCCTAAGTAAAAGGAAGAAAGGATGTTTACAAGATTATCTCTTTACTTTTCCCAGCGCATAAACATGTGAAAAACACAAACATGAAAACAGTAGGGATATAGGAAAAAAAAAAGTGGACTGGGGAACTGAACCTGCTGCTTTGGTCATGACAGAAAAAACATGCCTAACTGCCAAGTCCTTTCAAAGAGCTTTTATTGCAGTCAAGTGGATTTTATTTTTCCTACCCATGTGCTTTCAGGTGTTAAGTGCACTGTTGTTTTTCAAGATCCTGGGTATGGGAAGACACAGCTCTATAGACTTCTACTACTTCTGTTTTTTCATGACCTGTCTTGCCAAAAGCAGATGAGAACCGCTCTATTAGCAAAACTTAATAGATGCAACAGTTTACAGTGGCTGCTCAGATGTCTACTAGTCCGTCAAACATAAGAGAAACATACCAAATGACACTGTGTCATTTAAAAGCTCATGTCCTAGAGTACCTACTGGTGCTTGCTTTGCCAGAGACAGATAGGACAAGCCCCAGAAACCCCTGAAGAGGTGGAGAAAAGGTGGCAAAGGGAAGGAGTGCAGGTTTTCAAACTCTTCATTCGCTTTGCTTCCATTTGGTGGACTGACAGGCACATTTCAGACTGTGAAACACAGAAGCTTTTGGAGACTGAAGCCCTGTTTCAGTTCTGACCATCAAATGTGGTATGTGCTTATTTCCTGCAGGACCCCTCAGGGGTATGCTACGAGTCCAGCCAGGAGCAAGTCACCCATGGCAGTAGCTCCACTTTCAGGCATTGCTGTGCTACCTGTGAGGGGCAGGGCTGTGCATTTAGGAGAAGCTGTGTTGTTTAGCTTCATTTTGGGATGTTGCTGCAGAGTTTTGTGTAGGCTCACTGGACAATTACAGGAGGTGAAATGCTGACAAATTAAGTATCTTCCTTTAAAAATGAGCCCGAAGAAAATTATTAGTACAAAGATCACATCAAGGAAGTGGGACAAGGTATCTGTCTTTGCCAAATCAGCACATTTAATCAATAAACTACTAAGGAATCATGACGTTTCAGTATAACTGCTGAGTGCATCAGCCAGCACTAAGCTGCCTTTTAGACTACAACACAGAAGAAATAAATATGAGACCTTATCTCTGAATGAAGAAAGGAGATGTGGAGGAAAGTGCAGGCAGTATGTGTTCTACCTCAGAAAAATACTGCTTAGTTCCCATGGAGGTATAGCGGGGACAAAAATAAAAGCACATAATATATACAGAATTGAATGGGAAGAGGAAAAAGCCAAAGATGTCACAAAAGCAACAAGAACTACCTGTTATTTTAATGCCATACATGGGCGGGACAGAGTTGAGGAGATCCAACCAGTGATCTCAGCTTGGTTGTTACCCTGCTACTGTGGCACATGATGCCCTCTTCACCTTCCCTCCCTGGCTGGAGATGATGTAGTGTTTTCCTCCCTAAGGGATGGTGTTCCTTTCTCAAATTCACTTCTCTGAGCACTTTGGCACAAAGACTGGTAAAGTACCTGCACAGAATTTGCTTGTGCTCCCAAATCACCTCACAGATGTTCTGCCTGACTACAAAAAGTACAGATGGATAACTCTGCACTATTATAATGAGATTACACTACATTAAGTTTTCAATGAATGCTTAAACTTGAAAGCCCTGTTCCCTTTTGTGTCTCAACTGCCTATACCAGCAACACAGGAAACAGATCATAGAGCGTAGTTTTTACCCTGCAGGTTTAGAAAACAGAACTGTTTATTTTCTTAGCAGTATTACTGAAAGCTTGACATGAGGTCTTTGCCTTACCATCCACTTGCCGCATATCAGGGCTACTGATACTACTGTGGGCTAGTAAGTGTAGTCCTTGGTAAAAGCATCCAAAGAAAGAACTCTTAAATATTTATTCCTGGCTTCTAGGAAAGGGAGGGGTTTTTGTCTCCACACATAGGAGCTTTGTAACTCTGAGACATCTTGCATTTCATTGCACAAAACTATCATTTTCCTGATGGCAGGCTCTGGCTGCCTTTTAATAATCTCCCCATCTGACAAATTTCCTTCTTCAAGAGAGCTGCTTTTCCTCTAATAGGGCATTTATTGGTTATTTTTTTCCTTTTCAAATAGCCCATAATAATAATATTCGCAGACACAAAACATCAAACAGCCTCTCCTAACAGTAGCTGCTAGGTCTGAAGCTCCAGCATGGTCTGGGTTTCTTATGAGTTTGTTACTGTTTCAGCATATGGTCCCCGAGATGGCAAAACAACACTGCTATGGTGTTTGCTGGCATAATGTTTTGAGGCTTGCAATCAGTTGCCACTATCCAGCAACCAGCCACTGAGGCAGCAGCAAATAGCAGATTACAAAGTTTTAGAAAAGCTGTTTGTATTACAAGTGAACTACTGTAGAATTTTCTCTTTATGTTACTTTTGGCTCTCTGGTCTAAACAAGTGCTATAGCAATGTCCTCCTAGTGTCCTCGAAATATGCGTGCCAAGAGACAGGACATACTGGGCCTTGCAAACACCACGCATGTGTATGCAAGTTTCCTGGGAGCATTTTCACAGTTTAGCATTCATCACCAAGCAGTGCCAATCCACAGTCCATAGTATTCACAAAATGGTTACTCCTCAAGGGCCAAGAACTGCAGAGATGAGGGCTAAAGGAGAGAATTCAGTGTTCTGTCCCTCCCTGTCTCTTGAACAACAAGATAAGCAATGATAGAAAAGATGCCACCAAGAAAGAGGAGCGTGGCTGCTCCTTTGGAGGCCTTAGGCCTGGCTAAGGAAACTGTGATGAAAACATTCGTTTTGATGAGAAAGTGTGGCTCATTCTGACAAGAGGGACAAAGAAGACTGTATTAGCAATCAATGCTTGTAAACTACAACCTGTTGTAATGTCTGTGCTTCTATCTATAGAGCAATTCAGTTCACTTGCTAGCAAGCCAACTCGCAGGGAGATTACCTTGTATTTGGAAGTGTCCCAGTTATGAACCAGCCGTGCAGGGATGAGGAAGCTGTCATCCACGTGGCAGGTGCTGCAGTAATACCATCCACTGTAGCTGCACACCTTGGCTTTCCCATTGGACAAGCCTATGGAGCGCTGACAGCCTGGAGAAAAGAGAGGGGAAAAAAATCTGGATTTGTACCATGCCAGAGGTACACGCTCAGGATGCAGTAAATTTAGTAATTATTCCCTCACCTGAGACCCTTTTAAAATTTTTTACTTATTTTACCAACGAGCCATTCCCTGAAAAACAGAGCACTAAATATCAGTATTCCTGGACAAGTGCTGAACAAGGGCATCTATGACAAAGAGTTCAGAGAGCAGTCAAAGGATACTTAGCACTTCTTCTCAAGAAACAAAGGCAGAAGACCAGCTTTGAGACACTGGGCATGTAAAAGCGATGGTCTACAGAAAACCATGGCCTCAAGCTCAGACAGAAAACACCAGACCACATAAGTACTGTGTGCTTGCTCCAGCCAGCTCCCATTCTCCCCACAACAGAATGGGCCAGCACTGGCTGCCTGGAGGAGTGCAAGCCAGCTCCTGCTGACAGCCAGAAGGGTTGCTGACTTGGCAGGTGCGATTCAGCCCAGAATTAGCACAGCCAAGGCAAACCACAGTCACACCATGAATAATAACTGTGAGCAGCAGTCACACTGAGAATGAGTAGTCCTTGACTAACAGTAGTGACACAACTCAGTTTCCTGCAGGTGGTTTTTTTTCCTTACACTTGGGATTACCCTGTGTCTTACAAGGTCTGTCTGATAACTTTTTTCACAGCTGGATCCCTCGCCTCTTCCCAAGTCCTCTTGTATGGAGTCCCTGGGGTAGAGCAGTGTATTCAAAAGCTGCTGCTTTACTTGGAAAGAACTAATGCAGAGCTCTCCTTCACCTGACTACCTGTTTTCACAAAACACGTAGAAACTCAATGTATTTGACACCTCAGTCTTTCTCTCAACTGTGACTAAAACAAGCCATCAGTTTCAAAGAGTGGAGGGTTGAAGACAGACAGCACAGTCACATTAAACAACCTGCTCAGGAAGCGAGGCTAAAAATGTTTGGATAAGATACAATGAGATGTCTGTGGTTGTTAACACCTCTTTGACACAGCACACATGACGGTATTTCTGCTTTTCCTTCAAATACTAGTGTCCCCGTATGACATTTACAGCTACAGACATAATTAGCACTAGAGCCCCACTCCAGCATGTGCTCTATGCTCAGGCAGTCTCTGCTGGAGCTGGTTAGTAATGCTGATTAGCAGAAGCCTTGTACATCACTTACAGCAAAAGTATTGGTTCAACAAAGTTTTTCAGGTAGAAGACAACTGACTGACTGCTTCTGTCAGTAAAACTGATTTTGTTTAGTGTAATGATGTAACTTCTCCCACCGTAGGCATCTTTTTTTCCCCAGGAGAAGTTATCCTGATTTGAGAAAAGACTGCAACTCAACTACTCTAGGAAAAAATCGAACTCCTCCTTCTCCCCATTAGCTGATGCTACCATGTCCCCTCTGCTCTAATCAAATGAACCTGACCAACACAATTAGTTCATTTCCTCCTCTTCCACACTCCAGAACCATTTAGCCTTTGATTCTCTGCAATACACATTATCAAGTGAATCAGTGTGGGACGTGTCCTGTCTCCATGTCTATCGCCCCCTCTTCCTTTTTTTTTAAAGTGAGGATATGCAGTTCCTTGTAAAAAGCAAGTATGTAAACAGATCCATTAATGAAAGAGATACTTATGTTAATGCCTCCTCCTTTACCATTCATAAGATCAGAGCATAAGTATAAAGATGTATCTCCAGTCATATAACTCAACATACATAATGCAAAAATGTGATCTCAGCTAACAATCAAACAGAAAACCCAAACATTATGACTGTAAACTATTATCATTATAGAAATAATTTTTATATGGTAAATATTAGCAAAACTTTTTGCAAAACAGTATTTTTAGGGCAGAAAAAATGCAGGTATGCTCTTTATAAGGGTAAAGTCAATTCAAGCAATTCAGTACTGGGTTACAAAAAAAGATGACCTATGACTGTGGTTTGGGATCAGAACTAGGGAGCCAACAACTTCGTATTTCCCTTGTGCAAAGCACACATTTTTCCCATCTTTCCTTTCTTTTTTTGTTGTTTTGTTTTGTTTTTTAAAAGCAGTTTCCTGACTAGTCGGTCAAAAGAGTTTCTGTCCAGTCCGGCTCCACTATGCTACTATGGGTGAAGTCAGCAGGCTCATCTGGTTCTAAGCTCAGTATCAGTGCTCTGTAGTACATATAGAACTATTTTTTCCATTTTTAAAATGCATTCATACATAAAGGTGAAGGTTTTGAACAGCTGCCAAGACATGAAATACCAGTCCTGTTTGTCTGACATGACATTCGCCCGACTAGTAGCCCTGGAAGATGCTTCCAGAAGGTACTTACACTGTTGCTATGGAGCCCATGTTTTTAAAAGCACAAGAGATAAATCTTGCCCCTCTGTAAAGTAAACAGAGAAGTATGTCTACTCCCCTCCTCATGGAGTAAGAAAATGTTATCTACAAAAGAGACTGTTCTCCTTTCCCAAACTAAATGGGGAAGAGCCCTCAGAGAGGATCTGAATCTTTCTCACTAGTTGCCTCTGAATTTCCTATCACTGAAAAGCACTGACACATCCATCTTCATACATCAACTGTCTCCAACTTTAGCCTTCATTACATACAGCCATTACTTCACACCGGATGAAACAAGAGACTACTAAATGACATGTCGTATTTTCTAACTCAGTGTGTTTGGACCAGCTGATGAAGTATTACTGGTAAAGCTGTGTCTGAATCAGACTGAAGCCTCCTAACTCAATGGCACTGAAGCCTTTACAAACATTCCCCGCTATCCAACACTTACTCATCTGGCGGATGAGGATGGGAATGGGACACGACACACTGATTTCACCTAACTGCCACTGTGCACTCCCTGCCCCTCCACAGGCTGCTTGTTTGCTTTGGTGCCCTAACTCCTACCTGTTAGACTGAAGGCAAGAATAACCTAAACTCCAATTTGAATTGCCATCATCCTAAACTGAAACGTTTGCAGGTAAGAAGCCACCATTTTAAGTCCTCATTTCTTGCAACCTCCTACAGCCAGAAACTCATTCCAGTCCACAGAGAGAGTTTCCTCAGGAGAGGAATGACAAAGCACAGAGGTGCTGGGGGAGCTTCCCTCCTCCTCCCTACATCCAGCCCATAAGAATTGAAGGTCTTTAGGGTGAGGAGGGTCTCAGCAAGGAATCTTGGATTCCCTTCCCTTCAGGAAGAATGGTTTTATAAAAAATTTCCTCCCCAAGCAGAATTCATTGCTTTCTTCCTTATTCCAGCCCTTCTTTGAGCCCACGTTTGTTCCCTTGTTCCTCAGAAACACATTTTTAGACGGAGTATTTCTCATTCCTCTTCATATCCTCCAGTAAATCACATTCTGAAAAACAGCATAGCAGTTTTAAGGTTGGGGTGTTTTAGATGGGAATGTGGCACTGGCACCCACCTTACATGTTCCCTTACCTTACAAGCTTTGTTGTTTGAAAATCACCATCTTTTCCATTCCTATCTGTTGTGATTCATAATGATGGCTATTTCTACAATCCTTTCAAATCAAGTTATCAAAGCACTGATTTTCTTTGATGTTATGCAGTTCAAAGTGATGTAGTGTGACAAACATATTTTTGTGGCATATACCACTTATGCTACTTTGGTTTTTTTAAGATGGAAAAAAACAGAGCAAGAGTGAGAGAGAAAGAAGAGGAGGAAGGAACAGCTTGTGGCTTAATACCTTGGAAATCCTGTACCTGGACACTTAGGTACATAAACTTGACATCATGTTTACCAGAAGCAAAGCCAGTACCTAATTCCTGGCTTTAAATACTTGAGCAGCCCTCCCAGCAAGATAGTCAGATGTAGTTGACTACCTCAAAGATCGATAATACAACTCAAAAAATAGTTTAGGGTACAGGAAGGAACCATTTCATGTTTGCAGAGAAAACACTTACTTGTCTATAGCTAGAGAAAGCACCTTCCACAGGATGGGGGAAAAAAGCAGCACAAGTTTCACCAAGACTCTCTCACCTACTCCTAATGTTCACACAGAATATTATCCATATAACATCTGTACAAAGGTCTGGCAAACCCTGAGCCTAGAGCAAGGAGAATACTGCCATATTTACTATTATCTAAAATCATCCCTACCTAAAGGATGGTACAGAGCAAGCTACAGAAGGAAGTGTAGCTGTAGGTATACTGTTAGCAAAATGAGGGAGGGAGTAATCCCAAACCTTTCATCACAGAAAATATAACAAAACAGCCATGGAATCAAGCAAAGAAAATAGGGGTTAGAAAAAATAGCATCAAGAAAGTGCTGCTGAGCACAGATGAACCTCTCTCAACAACATGTCTGTGAGCAGAGCAGGAGTATCAACATCAAGAGGCTCATCTCCAAGTGTTAAGATGTCAGGAAGAAAGAATTACAGGAAAATGAGGTTTAAAACTTATAACAAGTCTCTCTCCTTGACTTAAGGTGGTGGTGAGGATAGTATGGAGGAGGATTCCATGATACATGAATACAATTCCTCTTCCGCGAAGTGTAGAAAACACCATTTCTGCCACTTTCAGAGTGTTGCATACTCTCATGGTCACACACAAAACTATTCTTTTAATCCAGATACTTTTTTCTTTAACCTTTTAACAACAAAAGATTGGAGTAGCTCCAAAGTGAAGCAGAGAAAGTAGAAGACCAAACTAGAATTAAGTACACAACTGTTTTCCTTATTCAACAAAGTTCCTTGCTCAGTATCAGGAAAAAGCAACTCTCATGACTGTGTACCATAATTAAATCTGTGACAGATCAGCTAAGAAGCTAATTCATTTAAAAACAACATACAATATGAAGAAAAGAAAATGACCCACAGACTTCAAAAGGCTTTCAGCTTGATAAAGGCATAAAGCAGACTAAGCAGAAGGAGCACAGCAACAAATTTTCAGAGTGTTAGATCAGACATACAACATTGCTCTAAGCTGCTCAGCACAAACAGAAAGAGAAGGTGAGAATTACTTCTGTTGCTGGCCTTGTGTT